TGGGTGCTTCAGCTCATTTAGGTGGCTATATCTCTTCCACATATGGGTGGTGTACTTTGGTGTAACATGGGCGAGCGGTGCGCCAACCGAGTGGACTGCAAGACACAAGCATTAGCTAAACTTCCTCTAACGCAGGGTGACAAGGTGGGGCAGTGAAGATGCTGAGCCTCGGCTAGTGGGGTAGAATGACGCACAATAACCATCGCGCTCATCGATGACAGTAATTTCAACCCCTCTGTTACTCCGTGCACCCTTGAAGTCGGGACCTGGGTAGACACTCTGTCGGGCCTTCCCTTGTGAGAGTTCCAGGAGGTTGACGACAGTAGAGATGCCTCCATACGCGCAGCCGACAACGAGTACGCGGTTGGGATTTGATAGGCTGAGGTTGCCCAGTGTGTCCGTAACGCCTTGGAGCCTCATTGTGAATATTTGATCTGATAAAGGAGGGGTCGTGGGGGTGTAGGAGTGTTGGCAGGGCGGGATGGGAGGAAGATGATCTGATTAGATTAGAAGTGCAGGTGGCAGAACGCCCACTTCTATATGCCGCCAGCGCACCAAACATACACCACACCGACATCGGAAATCAGCTAACTATCGTCGCACCAGCAACTAAGCTATTCGCAAGTACACGAGCGATCCACCATCGTGGCGGATGTGGTGGTCGGTTTGCGATTGGTGGATGGCAGAGCATCTTATCAGATCCGAGCATTATCCGGTGCAAATTTTATCTGATGCCCCACTCTAACTGCATCTGCCCATCCTTCGTGTCTTGCCAAGGTGGGCAGTCAAGGACCTGACTACTCAACGGTATTCAATGACAGCCTGGTGTCGGTTACAGCTACCGGAAAGTCGCGTGTTTGACCGCTTCTCGACTATATCCCCACATAAGGCCTCCGCTGGTGGGCACATGTGGGCGGAGACCAAGGCCGCTGGTGACAGTCACGGTTCACAACGTTACAATGAGTTCGTATCAACGAAGAATGGAGTACGCGTTTGACCCAGATCAGAGCCTACTCTTGGCTCAGGTTGCCCAGGTGGTCATTGTATGCCACTATAGTATACGATCTGATTGCGATGGCTTTGCTGCATAAGGTCGTATTACGGATGCCCGCGGGCACGATCGTTCGCGGCACGTACCAATTAGATCAAGTTAAGCGGAGAAAAAGTCTATATTCAATCTTCGTCTTCATCGTCAGATCTATTAACATCAAACCCAAGTAGCTCATCGCCTTCTCCCTCTTCATCCTCACCCCTAACCTCTAAATCACGTATCTGTCATTCGCCCTTGAACCCATCTACAAGCACAACGGGACCCTTGTACTGCTTGCGTCCTCGAATAGCATAATCGATACCACTCAGAACAGCCACACCAACAAACATAACAACAGCCCAGTTGAAGTACGCCAAAGGTACAGGCGTAGACTCAGGCCAGAAGCACCAGAAGAAGGCGTGGGAAGAGTAGAGAACGCCGCCGATGTTGATGGGTACGCCCCATTTGCCGAGGGACCAGCGGCAGTTGGGGAGGAGTTCGGGGTGGCGGATGCGGCGGTAGAGGACGGCGCCGATGGAGAACATGTATGTTATCATGAGAGCTACGACGTTCAGGGAGATGACTGTAGTGCGTTAGCTGATATTGTACAAATGTGCGGATGGAAAGGAAGAAACATACTAGCGTTGAAAGCAGTATCCGAGCCGATGTTAATCAAACTCAGCGCAACGGTGATAAGACAAGTCACCGTCACAGCATTTTTCGGAATTTCCAACTTTGGATCGACATGGCCGATCCAGTTGCTGAAGGGAAGACCCTTGTCTCTAGCGAACGCCCAGGTCTGGCGCGAAGTCGATAAGTTGAAGGTCAATGTGCCGGCGAAGATGAGTACAGTGGGGATGGCGTTTAGGGCTACGACACCACCGGAGTTGACGGCTTGGGCAAATACCCACATATGCGGGTAGTCCTCAGCGAGTGCGGCGTCGACGTCAGTGATCATGAACATGTAGCTGATTAGGAAGACTATTCCGAGAGAGCCGTTCATGAGGTACGCGCCAATCATGGCGCGGGGGACGGTTTTGCCGGCATCTTTGATCTCCTCGGCCATGTGGGCTGCGGAGTCGGAGCCTGTGATCGGGAGTTAGCTTATGTTCCAACGACGAAGCTTGGTAGAGATATAGACTTACAGATACAGGCGTAGATGGCTGACACTTGACCCACCATAAGAGCCAAACCAGTTGAACTCCAGTTTCCGCCGTTCTTGAACTGGGTGAAAGTCACTTCAGCAGTAGCCCGTGGCGACAGAACCCAGAAGACGATGATGATGGCCAAGAAACCGAATACGTGAACGACCAACATGACGTTCTGGAAAATAGGCATAGCCTTTGAGCCCCAGATATTCAGGACCCAGACCAAGAAGGTCACGGCAATGACCATGAGCGTTCCGTGCCAGCTGGTGGGCTCGTATTCTGGGTACATGACGATGACGGAAGCTTGGATTAGGGTGCCGACGAGGAAAGGTCCGGAAGCTGTACCGGCTTGCCATGATAGTGTTGACATCCAGCCGATGAAGTAGCTGAATGGCTTCTGGACGCTTGGAGGCGAGAATTCGGAAACCCAGTGGTACTGGCCACCAGCGGTCGGTGCCATCGATGCCATCTCTGCTAGCGACAGCATAACAGTGCTGAAGCCGAACCATGTCCAGACGAAACTCCAGATAAGACCTGCTGGACCTCCATCGAGGAGGCCTTGGTATGTTGCACTACGACGCTGTCAGTTCCTATCCCCCATCCATCATATCGAGGTTACCTACGTCAAAAGCACTTCCCAGGTCCCCTGCAAGATAACGGTGAACGCCAACGCAGACAACGGCCGATAATTCCTTTTCAGCTCTTGCACCTTGCCCATGCGCTCCATATCCGCGCGATCAGCCCTCGTGAAACCCCTCAGAGACTGGTGATACTCCTGACTCTCATCCCCATCCAACGACCGCGACGCATTCGCGCGCGACTCCAACGTCGCCTGCTTATCCATACTGCCAAGCGGCTGAGCCTCGTAAGCAGCCATAACCAGATGCGCGCCTTAAGATATGCAGGAACGCAGCGCCTCAATAAAAATGAGACCCAAGAAACAGGAACAGCAAACGCAAACGAACAAGCGAAAACGGTGCGATGGTAAGTAAGAAGAAGGGATTGCCCACACGGACACACGAAATGGCGTGCACATGCATGCTGGCGAGATGGGCTCGTCCAGCCGCTGCGAAATGCCTTGTCTGCCGCTTCCACGAAGAAGTGGGGTGCACTAGACCCAAACCCCCTTCACATACCCGGCATCTCTTCTTCTTGAGCGGAGCCAGGGTCCAATGGTGCAGATACGCTCCGGTGCACATGTCAACCAACAAGATCGTCGCGGTACACAGTGCGTGGCCCTCCGACTTGCCATGAATGGTTTGACGTCCTGTCCGCCCAAATGCCACCATCCCTGCCGCTAGCGCGACACCACGCGGCCCGCTTCCTTATATGGGGGTTTGCTGCGGCTGGGCCGTAGGCTATCGCTGCAGGAGTCGTACATTGATTACATGTAGTTGCATCTGCCGCAGGCTTGTGTAGGAAAAGATAATCCGCCGAGATGACACGTTCGTGAGAGGTGGAATGGTCTCTCTAGGGGAAGCGGAAGAATTCGTTCTGGACCTTCTCCAGCCTTACGAGGTTGAAGGGAGCCAGGGTGAACATCAGATTAGCGAATGTTGATCATGGTATGATTCGTAATTCATGGTATGATTTGTAGCGTTCTGTAACCGTATCGCTGTTCGAACGGATATTACCTAGGAAATCTCAAATCAGTCATGCTGGTAGCCGAGCTCATCAAACCCGAGGGAACGGTAAACTTTCACAAGAATTTCTTGTCCCACCGTTCAGTAAACCGCTTTCTTCGCGCTAGCTACCTGAGTGTCATTTCAACGTATGGCAGCATGCGGCTGTCATTCCGCCGGGCGCCGAGCCTTGTTGGCGTCAGCCACTGTAGCACATACAAGGACGAAGAGACCCTTATGCGTTAGGAGTACTTGGTCATGGCTCGCTTAGCATCAGACGCCATCTTCAACAAGATCTCCCGTGAACCCGTGTACATGGGTCGGATTCGGTCCTGATCAATAAGCGATGAGCGTGAGGGAGGACGACGTGAAGGGAGTGACATGGGCGGTATAACGTCCGCGCGAGCTCTCATTGGGCTGGCTGTGTGCAAACCACAGGCGGTATAGGTACATGTCAGACGCAGGAGCAGCGGTACAGAACCCAAAGGGTCGCCCTCTGACAACTGCCGTGGAATCTGTCTGCCTGTCATCTTATGGCCGCCACTCTGTTGTACCTTTGTTCTTCAATTTTTCCCTTGATGCTCGATGGCTGGAGAGGTGATTCCTCCGCCGTATGTTATATCTGCGGATGACAAGCGCGGGCTCATTGTCGTGACCGGTGCAGCTGTCTTGGCCTTTGTCTGGTCATGTTTTCTGATACGGGTTTGGTTGCGCCTGCAATCGAGAGAGTGGCGATCTGATGGTAAGTGCCCTAGAGTCGGTCGGTACTCAGAGTTGAGACATTGTGCTGATGGCGTGTGTGCAGATTGGTGGCTCGCAATAGCGACATTGCTCGACACGGTACAATCAGGAATCATATTCCATCTCGTCAACCTAGGCCTAGGGGCCTCACAGGTCGGAGTACCGTTGTCGCAACTCCAGCAACTTGGTAATGTACGTAGTGTTTAGGTTTTGGCGATCCAGCGACCCTCTGGATCCGCGCGTGGGTGTCGGCTCCTTGCTTCCTTCTGGCGTTCGCGCAGGCCCGCAGGGCAGCCGCGACCGAGTGAACCGCCGAACATCTGGGGAAACCGCGTCTAACAAACAACAGGAAGGTTTCGCGTCGCAGATCATTTATATCTTTGTTATACTCGCCTCGAAACTATCGGTACTTTCTCTGTACCTACGGCTATCGCCAGGCGGATCTCATCGCATAGCATCATGGTCACTCGTGGCACTGTCCTGTCTATGGGCACTGGTATCCGTCATCCTGATTGCTATACCATGCAATCCTGCGCAAACATATATAGACGCGGGAAACTGTACGAACAGGGTAAGTCGACTATCCTAGGCGACTAGGCGCATTCTCTTCCTCGATGAAATACATCCACATACTAACGCACCACCACAGTGGCCAAAATGGCTCAGCATAGGCACCTTCGACATCCTAACTGAACTCCTAATGTTCCTCGCCGCAGTCCACCTCATCTATTCCCTGCAGATGCGCCTTCTCGCCAAACTCCTCGTAATCTTGGCCTTCAGCGCGCGCCTCCCCGTCATCGCAATCGCCGGCATACGCCTCTACTACCTGGACTTACGACTTCGCGGGTCAAACTTCACTTTCGACTATGTCATCGCTACGCAATGGCAGATGGGGTATGCGATCATGTCGAGTACGATAACGGGTATGGGTCCGTTCTTGAAGCCGTTTGATAAGGAGTACGTGAGTAGTACGTATAAGCAGTATGGAGAGGGACATAGTGGGAGTGGGAGTGGGGGGAGGTCGAGGATGGAAAGTGCGTTGACGACGCGTTCGAGTGGGATGTTACCGCCTTCGAGGAGACAGATGATGGGTCACCACCACCATCATCATGGCCATCATAGGCGGTCGGCGGATAACATCTCGGAATCGTATCTCATGGATACGTTGCCCAGTCGGCGGGCGAGCAAGCAGTCCCTTGGAGATCAAGACGGCTCCCATGGTCTTGAATTGATGCAATCCAGTAGTCCGACAAGAGCGTCGCCGCCGGGGCATACTCACGGGTTTATGACGGCGGATGAGCATTTTCGTCCTACGCATATGTATCGTGGGCATGAAGCGGAAGTTTGGGTTGGAGAGAGGAGTTTGAGCATTACAAGGGAGGAGTTGGATAAGGCTGCGGAGTCTGGGGGGAGTGGTTCCAAGTCTGGGACTAGGCTGGTTATTGGGAAAAAGAAAGAGTTCAAGATCGAGGTTGATCGTGCGAGCCGTCTTGTGTAGGCTCTGTGCTGCATTGTTTGGGTGGATGTTTTGCTTCAAAATGAGTTTAGAATACCCCTTTGTAGTTTGCGTTGGTTTGATGGAGAATTTGGACCAGAGAGGCGGAAGTATACAGATACGACATTATGACATAGAAAGCCTTGTGGATTGAAGAATCTTACTAGTAACATGTCCGAAATTCTTGAAGTGTTGAAGATTGCCTGTATGTGCTATGATAGTGAGAAAGAAGGACAAAAGCGCGCATCCCAGCTGCATTGACGGTCCTCCTGTTAGATCCCCAGACTTCAGCTATTGCCGGTTCCATCACGGTGAATTGATTCAACAGACTTCAATAAGAACACATTGTCAAAACTCCTGATTCCAATGGGGACCTATAATACAGCAAGCAAAACTAGCAGTCCCTGGCCATACGAGCTTTCCATCGTCCTGCCAAGTCAACGGTCAAGATGATATCCTGATACAATGCTTTTACGGTTCGTCCCATGCTTTCTATGCTTGTGCCCAACGATCGGGAATAGATGATAAGGAAATGAACACGGGTAATCGCAAATAGAGGTTGTGAGAAATGTTGTTGTCGCCGCAGTCAAGGGCCAACCTCAACGTAGGGGGAATCGGTCGAATATTGTAAAGGGTGCGTCTGGGAAGATATGTTTATGCGGAGAATCGGCGCATGACCTTGGCGATGACTGAGAGCTGTTAGATTGATACTGAACCAGGATGTTCCGGTGTACATACCGTGAAGAGCGACAACGCTGAAGATGAAGACAACGGACAAGGTCATGACCACGACGGGGTCGACCTTCAGACCGGGGGACTCATCGGTGTATAGCCCTGGAAAATGATGTTAGCCAAAGTCCCACAACTGCATCTCTGACAACCGCCGCAGCCCAAATCCGCTGCTATTATGGCTGAGTAGCTCATTCCACTACACGTCCTCCTCCTCTCGTTCTCTACCCATGTCGGGGTGCACTTACTCAGCATAGTGCTTGAGCTACCGCCAGCGCCGGCCGCCCTTGTGCTGCTTGGTCGCAGGTTCGCGGTCTTCTCGGCGCGGTCAGCCGCAGCTTTCCTGCGCATAACGGTCGCGGGGCCACCTGGGGGCTTTGGTGACGCAGGACGCGCGGTTGTTGAGCCGGTAGAGCCCGTGGCGGGGGAGGTAGCGCGTGCAGCAGACTATCGGCCATGTTAGCAATGATCTTGGTGTTCTGAGGTTTGGCTTGTGCGTGAGGGTATTGTCGCGGGGCTTCTTGGATGGATCGAGAAACCCTGACGTCTGAACGGATAGCAGACAGCTCGAGGAGTGACAGCACGCGACACCAGTCCAATAGTCTCTGTGACATGTCCTCATGCTCTTGCTCTCCTGTCGCATGCTCCGGAACAACAGACAGGTGTCCTCGTGCGTCCAATGGCCGTCTCTAGCGCCACAGAAGGTGTTACTGACCATGATGTGTGTTTTTGACGGTGACCGGTGCGAGATGGACGGAGTGGTTGTGATGGAAGATGTTGTGGAAGCAGTTGGTGATAGTCGCTCGGCGGCTCTCAAAGGCCACGATTCTGGAGCTGGGGTTGCCGCGCCGCGCTAACCCTGACCTCGACTGCCTCGCTTAGAACGCCGCTAGCAAGGGTCACGTGTTAGCTCCTTCACCACAGCAGCGGTTTTCCCGAACAGGCAGGTACATAAACACATCGCTGGTATGAAGCTATTCACTGGAGACATCGCGCAAAGCATGTTCACCAAAAAGATGGTTCGTCCCAAGCCACTTTTCCCATTAGACCGTTTGATATACCAGGCCAGATAGCGTCCCAATATCATCAGCGTAGGACCTAGCCCACTTTCGATGATGTAGATGCCCTCGACCAGATCCGAAAGCTAGCAACCGGTAATAGCAAGTCATCCTTAAGCAAACTCCCGCAAGCCCCGTAAACCGATGCCGACCCTTAACCTTGCCTAGCAAACACCCATGTAACCGCCCGTAAGAGGTATATTATCTTCAGCAGACCCAGAGATGTGGAACGTAGGCGAGCATGCTGCAAGTGCGCCGCCAAACCCACAGGAAATATTCGCCGACCACCAATTGACCGGCTCCACCCATGGTTGTATCTGAAAGACCGACACAGTATGCCCGAGACACCTGAAATGCAGTAACTCCGGAGGTGCATCCTATCTCCCTAATCAAAACTCCGTTTTCTAACCCCAAACAGACGCCTGGACTCCCTGGGTGGGGGTGTTGCTCCAGGGTCCGTTGTTCCAAATACCAACGCCCTTGTCAGTGACAGTAGAAGAAGGGTTCATAGAAGCAGATGTCGTCATGTTGTTCTGCTCGCTCGCGTTGTACGAGTTGTAGCCGAGAGGCGACGGCAGCGGTGAGTTTGCGCGCTTGCCCAGGGCGGCACCACCTGGCTGCTGCAGGTTCTGGTTCTGGGGACGAGTGCCAATGGGGGCGACACCAGAGCCGTTGGCCTTCTGACCGGGCACGGGAGGAGAGCCTCCGGGCGACGAGTTGGAAGTGCGGTTCGCCTGCTGCGCATCGAAGAGGTTGAACGCGGGGTTCTGAGTACCGGACGGCGAAGAGGTGCTGTTGGCACGAGCATCCTGAGCACCACCAGTAACGTCCTTGTCGCGGGGAGGCATCTGGACGGAGCCCTCGCCGGACTGGGCCTGCATGCCGAAGGGGTCAAAGGCGAGCGGAGAGGGGCCACGGCCGGCAGCAGAAGTCTGAACGCGGACATCCTGGCTCGAGGTGGGGTTGCTGTTGTACAGGGTGGAGGTCTCGCCATACAAAGCACGGTGCTGGCGAGCGATGAGTTCGCGGCGCTCATCTTCATTCATGGCATTGGGGCTCATGGAGCGGTCCGACTTGGAGCCTGAGCCTGAAACGTCTGTATTACCCTAGTCAACCAACTGTCCTGCCTATTGTTGCCCAGATTCCGAGTCCTTACTTCTGTGGTATTGCTGCTCCTGATGATAGTTGCGCAGCTCACGCTCACGCTGAGCCGCCATCCGTCGCTTCGCCTGTGCCATCTGGTCTGCGTCGTTGGGTCGGGGCGCATAGCCGCGCTGGTTCTGGTAGAAGCCCTGGACGTTGGTCGCCGAGTGGGAGCGGGAGCCGTCGTACTCGCTGACCGAGTGGTGGCGCTGGGGGCCGCCCATGCGCTGCTGCTCTGTGTCACATGTCAGTGGTGTGGAGGGGCATGCGTGGGCAGAAGTGTGTACCGAAGTCGGGGTATGGGCGGGGCGCGCCTCCCATCATGGGCATCGACTCGCGGCGGTTGGCGCCCATGGGGGTGGGAGGGAAGCCGGGGCCGAGGGGCTTGCCGCTCTTGCTGAGGTTCTCAATGGCGCGGTCGACCTCTGTGGTAACTGGTCAGCACTCGCCTCGCCAATGGTTGCGACGGGGCCTGTCACTGCCATGTCGGGTCGCATTGGCTCTGACAGACCCCACCGCCGGAACTACGTACCCTCAAACTGCGAAGCAAAGGCATTGGCGACCTCGCTGTTGACCGTGGAGCTTGTGCCTACATCCATGTGAATCGCTGCACCTGCGCCGTTGAATCCCATGTGGCCGGTACCTGAGCGCGAGGGCGGTTGGGGCTGCTCCCATGACTGCTGGCGGCCGGGAGCGGGTGTGTTCCACGACGCGTCGTTGTAGTAGGACATGGCGGGCAAGAGGCAGTCCGGTGGCTTCGTGGGAGTCGGGGTAGTTGCGCAACGCCAAAGGGCTCGTGGGCGGGACTAGTCTAGATATTCTGAGTACACTGGTCAGTACGGTTGTTCTGGTCCAGCAATGGCACGCAGCAATTGGCGACTGAGGTTCGGCAACAAGAGGTTCGGCGGTCGGCGGCAGCCCGTGTTGACGATATGGGGGCGGGAAATGAGGTCGAGGCGGGCAGCGGAAAATTTTGGTGGAGAGCGGAGATGTTTTGGACGACAGGGTCGTGCCGCGTACCGAAGAAAGTGAACCGTGAACTCACCTTCACCGCGAAAAAGGAGCGACAGCTGTTCACCGGGCAGGCAGCAAGTGAGGCACCAGGAAAAGCACAACTGAGAGCGGGTAGGGGTCAGGGAGGGACTTCGGGAGATATCGCGGGAATGTGAGGACATGGCGAAAGGGGATGCTGGATTCCTCGCGCTAAGCAGGCCGAGCAACGACCTATCCACTTAATTCATCTCCGCTTCGACGACACGGGCCTCACCAGCTGCATGCAATTAGTTCGACATGCCTTCCATCCCGTCCTGGTCCAACCGCGTACTTCGTATGACGGACGCCGCAGCCTCGCGTTGGTGGCTGCCGTTGTCCTGGAAGCCCAACTCTACGGCTCTTCAGCAGTCGGCGAAGTGGAAGAGCTGGCGGATGACGTCCGAGAGGGGCAGCTGCATGTCGTCGTCGAGGACTGCGGGATATGCAGTGCGAGCAGCGGGCGCGTTTAGCGAACCTGCAACCGTCGTTCGGGCTCTCACCACCCTATCTGTCGTCGGCTATTCGCAACAAAGCCCCGCGCGTCTCCTTTACACGTGGACCCTACCGGTCTGGCTTTGTCACGGCCCTGACATACACCGACTCAGGGTCTGCGTCCTCCCATAGACATCTACAGCTGCGTTGTAGCCGTCATCTGCGAACCTCGCGTTCGCAGTGCCCCGCCAGTGCGCCCGCGAGTGCAGCAATCCATGGCTGCCAGGCCGACGCATGCCACGCCGTGCTGCCAGCATGATCACTGCCCTCCACCATCACGCACCATGTGGAAGCGCTTGGGCTGTGATGCGGGGCAATCGGACGAGCAATGTGGGCTGCCTCCAATAAGCACCCACCAAAGACAGACAATCGTGAAAATATCGACTTGTGGCTTGCTTCTCCATCAGAGCACATGCACATCCACCAGAGAGATGATACTCCTACCATCGGTGTGGTTGTCGCCTGAGTCCGTTTGGCTCAGAGAAGACCAAGATGGCCAGCGTCGGTGCCGGCCTTGTTTCCAGATGAGGTTTAACAAAGTCAAGATAGCAACGCCATGCACGCCGAGCTTCGCATGCTGATATGCGACGTCAGTAGCCATCCACAATGTGGGGGGTCGGAATGCGCTGCCGAGTCTCCAGATACACAGGTCTTTATACAAAGCCCGGCGATGCTCGAAAACACCTCACTGTATGCGCAATAACAAAATGGCACGTGCGTGAACCGACCAACACAGACAAGGGTACAACCCATTCGGCTAGGCCTGCGCTCCCGCATACCCCAGCTTCTGTAGTTCGCCAACTTCGCCTACACTCCGCCGTTGCGCTATAGCCTCCAAAAGTAAGCCTTGCACACGTCATCCTGAGGAATGTATTCTCCTTTCGCCTATCCGCTCAGTCACCCTGTCCATTCCATTCCATCGTCATCACACATTTCGAGTCATCAGCATCCAACGCTCTTTCCCCTTTCATTTCTTGACATCACGCGCCTGCCACCGATCATGAGTCTAGGCATCACTCAAGCCATCAGCCACACCTCCGACATGACCACTCATCTTCCCTTGCAACATATACGCCCGATAAGCCCGTCACACATGATGAAGCGCAACGCCCACCTCACGCATGAATATGAGACACCGCCCTTGGAAAGGAGGCGAATTCATGGATCCCTTATTAGCAGCGAATTCACCCTTCGATGGACGGGCGCTGTTTGCCTTTACAGTCGGACGTGAAATGTCACAACGGTGGCTCTACAGTGTGAATGACTCCATCGATATGGCTACGAAAATGGGCCTCGCCTTGTGCGCGAGCGTACTGCATCGATCTCCTCCTACGACTGTTTCCAATCCTCAGATCACGAAGACCCACGAAGTATCAACAGGCACCTCTCCCGAACGTACAAGAAGACATGCCCGCGACACCAGCACAGCTCATCAACCTCCCGACTGAGCTTATCCTCGATATCGCAGACATTCTTCCGCATGATGCGAGAGTCGCCCTCGGGCTCACACAACGACGACTGAACAGCATAGTACGGCTTAATCTGCAACGATGGCAGGCTCCACGCCCAGGATGTGTACAGCGCGCCATTCAACGTCATCTAGCTCCACCGTCTTCGAAACCCACCCATCGATACTGTATCTTTTGTAGGGTTACATGCCCTATCGGTAGTTTTAAGTCATCGCTCAGTCCAGCCTGTCTGCCCATGACGAGAGTCAACGTACCGCACGACGTTGTCGAACTACCACCAAACGTCTGCTTCTGCCATGTTGCAAGGTTGACAAGGCATATCGAAACCGGGGGTGATACCGGACTTCCGGCAAAAAATGAATGGGTCAGTCGTAGGGTCAAGATATGCCTGCACTGTGGAGGGACTGGTCGGGATTCCAATTGCAATTTCGATTGCCAAACCTGTCTGACTGGGGAGGCAACGACGTACACTCGATATCATACGAAGTTCGCGAGGATTCCAACCTTCGTCTTCTGGAGAGAGGCTCCCAGACCAGGGGAGCAGGGAGTTGGTCAACTTTGGGTTCGGGAAACTCACAAGGATGCGATCGACACTGTGTCAGTCATCAACTTTCCCGTACTGCCGGAGTCAGTCCAGAAGATGAAGGACTAGGCTTGGCGTTGAGCTTCAATCGCAATCCAACCAGTCTTGAAAGCTACACTTCGTATGCGAGCTGGTCTCGCGGTTCGCGCCGGTTTTATTCATACTCTTTAATTCATAAGTCATTTAGAACCCCGTCTTCTCATCAAACATATAATCGTCCCTTCGCCCAAGGTCAGCCTTTTCCACATCCCCCTCACCACTCCTGTCGTCCGTCCCCAACTCCTGCCCCCAACTTCTCACACTGCACAGCGCCCACCACTGCGCACCCATCAGACTCAATCCCAGCCCCGCAATCGCAAACTTGACCACAATAAAAGTCATCGAGCATTTCTCCAACCACTCGTCGTCCCAACCGAACCCCGCATCGATATCGCGACACAACAACGACCCATCAACGGCATAGCTCGGAATGACCGGATTGAGTAACCGGAAGTCGAAGGGTAGAATCAGGTTTACGAGCGCGATGGTGACGAAGGAGAGGGTGATGGCGTGGACGATGGTGTAAGCTGACACTAGGCGCGGTGACAACTGGAAACAGGGCGTTAGCACATTCCCGCCTTGTCTTACTAATTGTCTTGCACATGTCTTGGATGTTGCTTTCCTCCGCACGAACCCGGACCCATCCAAGACCCGGCAGTCGCACGAATCGCGGGGATGAAGAAAGTGGCTTGCGTGCTTACCCGTATAGCGCCCACGAGGCCTAATATGCTTGCGCTGCCGGCGATGGCATTGTATGTGATGGAGAAGACGGCGCGGTTGGGATCTGAGCCCGGTAGGAGGAAGGAGAGGGCGAGGAGCGTGTGGGTGCAGAGTGTGAGGGAGGGGAGCACGACGGCTAGGAATCTGTGGGAGCGAAGTCAGTATTTGCTGCATGGCGCATGCTTCGCGCGTGAGCGAACATACCTCATCTGCTTTTGCTCGACCGATAGTGCCATGTTTCCCGTTCGGTCCAGGCCAGGGAAGTGAGGATGGGATTCAGGTATGACGATGTGGATGTAGACGTCGATGCGGATGCGCCTTCGCTCAAGACCCCAAGTAACAATGCGCTGCGCAGCGTTGCGTTTCGTTTCGTTCCGGCGTGATGCGCGTTAAACCTCCGTATAAAAAGCAGATTCAAATCAAATACGTCAGACAGACTCCGGGGGGTGGGTATCAAACAGCAGATCAGTACCGGCGCGTCGGAATTCAGGATCAGGAAGGAGGCAGAAGCAAAAGCGAAGGATCCGGCACAAAGCTTTCTTGTATGTATCTCGTAGTCTTGTCGCGGGGAACTAGCTAGCAGGTAGCTAGTAAGTAGTACAATCGTAATCGCAATAATCGCAAGCCGGTTGCCGGAAGAGTAGTCAAAGTCAAGAGGAGAAAACGTGGTGGTCGCGTGCAGTAGTTCAAGTAAAGTAAATAGCCAACGACCCTCGGAAGCTTGATGTCAGTTTTGCCTGAGTTGGCCGATAGAAAGAGCCCTCTGGATTGTTAATCGGTCCTGCGTTTCGGTGTTCCGATGTGACAGATTTAACTTTGTCGTGACCTGGTACATAGGGTAGGAGCTTTTTTTTCGGACTAGCTCCGGGATCCGCGGATGCAGGATGCAGGATGAGGTGCTGCCCTGCGATGTGCGGCGGACGACTCGGAGTGATGTCACGGGTTGAGGATCTTTCTGGTCTGGGTCGCTATAATGCGCACGCGCGTTTTAATTACTTCGTGAAACTGATGCGCACGCTGAGTAGCTTTCACGCAACCTTCTACTTCACGTCCACGCGCAGATTTCACCTCTGAAGTTCAGATACGCCATCAACAACACGCATCACGCAAACAGGTCTAGCCCTAGTCCCCCCAGCGCTTGCCATGTGTGGTGTATGTGCCAATGCCAATGCGGATCATGCGGCAAGCGGTTGTTCCAGTGGAGCACCTTCCGGAGCTTAGCGGAAACAAGAACCTCGAAGACCTAGAATCGCAAGCGCGTCATTCCGTGCCTCCAGGTCCAAACGTTATCTATGTTCTTTCTTGGATATGCCGCGCTTGTACGGCTGTCGGCAGGTGTCTTTTGCCTAGGTATGCGATGCCCCGCAACTGAGGGCGTAGTGCATATTTCATGGCTGATGGAGTTTTCAGGATGGGATTGTTGCATGCCCATTCTCGCATGCCCATCACACATCTCCCGAGTCTCATTCTCGATAGAAAGACCCGGATGCCGACGCTTCCTTATTCCGTGACCAATCACCCCCATCCCCATCTCTCACCCTGGTCGCTCAGACAGAAGATCTTGATAAATGTGAAAACTAACGATGCCCTATCCCATGCACATCCAGCACAGCAAAGCCCATCACGATTCCACGCGCCTGCAGGGCTGGTACAACAGAACGGGTTCTAGACGTGGCTTGTACCGTGGTTAGGTGCATGATGTGCTTGGCGCGATGATGCAGTAGGGGCTAGAGCGAGTGTGACAGCTATGACAACAACCTGGCGTGCGGTGTGGTGGTATCGGATAGTCCGGCGTGGTTAGGTGTGCTTTGGTTTTGCCTGAAAGACGGCGAGGAGGGGGTGTGACGGTGCATTGACGTGTGTGTTGGAAGGACTGAGACCACCCGTTCGGAGCTTTGGTCAAGGGTCGCGACTCGGTTTTCGTTCATTGTCCCTCCTCGTCACGATAATCGACAGTGTGGTCTGGACTGTGGACGAGTGTTTTGACAGTATATTCATTTTCGCCACCTGGCGTTGCTATCTGGCTATCGGTGCAGTGCAACGCGCCGTGCCGTTTATCTATTTATTCATATCGTCATCCTCGTTCATCCACCACTCTCTCCAAGCACCATCCATCTATGCGAAGACGTAGCAAGGGATACCGTACTGCAACACACCATTAGCACTCATCCTACACCACAAAGATACACATTTAAACTTACGTTGGTAGGAGCGTTGAACTTCAAGTTCTTGTCCAGGCCCGAAATCTCCGCAATCTCGTTGTCCTTGAGATCGAAGCTGGTAACATCCAAGTTCTGCTGCAGACGGTTCGCGGAGTTCGACTTGGGGATAACGCTAAGACCGCGTTGTGTCGACCAGCGGAGGAGGACCTGCGCGGGAGTCTTGCCATGCGCATCAGCAATCTTCTTGATGACGGGGTGGTCAAAGAGGAGGGGTGTGTCAGCCGCGATCTTCATGTCGCACTCGATGAAGCTCTGGGGGCCAAAAGAAGAGTATGCGGTGACCTTGATGTCGTGCTGCTTGGCGAGCTCGATGAGGTAGGGCTGGACGTAGTAGGGGTGGTGCTCGATCTGGAGGGTGGCGGGCTTGGTCTTGCAGTAGGTGAACATGTCGAGGAGGAGGGCGCCCGAGTAGTTGCTCACACCGATGCTCTTGGCCAGGCCCTTGTTCTTGAGCTCCTCAAAGGCTTCCCATGTGCTTTGTAGGCTGGCATTGCTGTGCTCGATCTTGCTCTCGCCGTCGACGAACCAGCCCGGTGGGTAGCGCACCTTGGGGTCGACGTACTTGAGCGCGACGGGGAAGTGGATGATGTACAGGTCGAAGTAGTCGACGCCCCAGTCGGCCAGTTGCTTCTTGCAGATGGGCTCCACTTGCTCGCGCTCGTGGAATGTTTGCCACAGCTTGCTGACGATGAAGAGGTCTTCGCGCTTTACGAGGCCGTCCTTGATGGCGCGGGCTACACCTTGACCGCACTCGACTTCGTTGCCGTAGTCTGTAGATTGGATTGTCAGCTGTGATCATGCGCGGCGCGGTTCCGAGGGAGGGCGCTAGCATTCCGACGCAATGTAACCTTGCAGAGGATGCAGAAGCCACCGGTAAATCGGAGGGAAAACCCCGTTTGCGATTGCCGATAGATCTCTGCTCTTTACGGTTTACGGGCCGATGGAGCGTTTCGTAGTGATTGAGATTGCTTCCCCAGACCTCCGCCAACTGCGGCTCTGGGGATGAGGAGAGGGGATGAACGTACCGCAGGCACCGTCGAACAATCTGTATCCAGCCTTGATGGCGTTGTAAACAGTGTCGGCGCAGGTAGCATTGTCGACCTTCCACAGTCCAAAGCCAACCTGGGGCATCTTGTTGCCATCGTTGAGCGTAACGTAGGGAGTGTTGACAGCCATGGTAGCGAAGAAGTTGCGATGCGCAAAGCTATTCTTTTGTAGTAACGTAGGAGGTGAACGTCCAAAGCAAGGTCTTGTCGAACGAGTAAAAGAGGAAGAAGCAAGAGGTATGCAAGTAGTAGCAACGGCAGAAGAACAGGCGGCACGCAGCGTATTAATACTGCTAGCACGGCAATTGAAGCGCCCAGCAATCATGTCCCTGGGGGTAGTATATACGTGTATTTTGCAGACGGAATAACAGATTTTGGCGCCAGGTACAACAGCCTGCCGTCTATATACGCCGTGTCAGAGGCTAGCACCACCATATGACCCTGCGTCTTCAACCGGACGACTGGGCTGCCATGGCCGTGTCTGCGCCTTTACCCTGATGGGTTATAGTTCCGCCTGCCTATTTATCCTTGTTGCGCCGCATGCCTGTGGCGGATGCTGAGCGTGTTGGTCGGCCTTGGTGTTTGGCGTCGCCTGCAAAATACTACTGCAATGTCACTTCCTTCCTTCCTCCTGTCCGGCAATTCTCAATACATGGGTAAATAGCGGCTCGTCTCAACAATGCTCAATCAGAAACTTCTGCGTCCTGAAACTGCATGCGAGCGCTGTAACGCTGGCAAAAGAGCGCAGCTGCAATCACGATCACCACAGTGACGATAGTGGGGTACCATGTGCCCCTCCCTACCCACAATTTGGCCTGCCACCACGCGGTCGACGGGTAAAGTAGCTATTAGTCTCGACAGCTCGAGGCACCGGATAATTAGTACGCGCCATGGTCGTGATTTACCGTTCGTCCATGGCATTGGATAAGCGATGAGCCGGCGTGGGATTTCTTTTTGTGCTGTTCGCATGCCGTGGTGGGGCGATGAAACGTTTGAGGCTCTTCGGACATGCGATATGACGGCGTGATTGTTGCAATAGCCGGGAGTGAAGCGGCATTACAGCACGTCAGCGACAAAACACAAACTGAATGGAGAATAAGTCATTAAGAAACTACGAGCAAAAGCTTCGTTGATTGACGCTAACATCAATAACACTATGCAGTACCCATATCAAAGACATCATGCCCATTGGGAGCGCAGTCGTACACGAATATCATTCCACCCATTCCCAAGCGCCAAGCCATCACCGATGAGTGAAGTTCATTCCCGCGATCATCCCCAGACCCCGGCTTACTTCCGCGAACTCGCCATCTCTCCGAACCGACCTCGTTGCTGTGTGGTGTCATAGGCTTGCAGCACCCTAGCTTGCGATTCGTCCGTTTGAGAGAACGCATAACCACGCTGTTTGCGCATGCGCTGCACTTGTCGGACTTTTCGGATTGCTTTTTGGAATTGCTCCATGCTATTAGAGAGTCAGTCAGCTGTTCCTAGCAAGGGTAAGGATAGGTAACATACCGTGGCCGATAATCCTGGATGTTGTACTTCTGAATTTCCTGGACGTGATGGTAGCTCTGCGGGAAGTACATCCTCTTGGCATACTTCCATGCAAAGTCTCGGATGAGACAGAGTGGCGGCAATACCAAGACCATTGCCCAGAACCGCGGGTCGGGGAATAAGCGCTCGATGACACCAACGTACTCGGTGGAGATGTTAACCTTGGGAGCTACAACGGCGTAGATGGGCATCAAGATGAACCATAGCAGCATGGAGCCTGGGATGGCTATTACTGTGTACTTCGTCCAGATGTTGGTAATGAGAGAGGCTTTGAGAAGAACAGTCGCAAGGTTGGCTGTGTAGGAGGCAGTTCCCCAGACCCAATGGCCTGCGTTTCGGCCATCCCATTGCGGCCAGTCCCACAGAATGAATGCTTGAGCGCCGAAGTAGAGGATTAGCGAGTGGTAGAAACCGTTTCCGACCCATGACCAGAAAGAGTGCATCCTAAAGAACACGCCAGACTGACTGAGTCGGTAGAGTTGCGGATACCTGTCCAAAAGCCTTGCGCTTACGAACTGATCGAAAATACCCAGGACGAAAGGCGGTGCGGCCGTGAAGAACACGTTGTACATGGTCAGTGTCCACGATTCATAGATAATCTGGCCGGAGAAACCGTTCTGGAAAGCGTACCAAAACTGCGTCATGAACATGGCAATGTTCTTGTAGAAGGAGTACAGGATGACCTTGCTAACACGCTGGTAGCTCCACGCTCCATGGACAAGAAGAAGCTTACGCAGGTAGCGGAACTGGCCAATCGCGATATCCGCGCTGCGAGCTGCCTGCAATCCCTCCATACCGCTGATACCAACACCAACGTGAGCAGCTTGGATCATGGAGACATCGTTCGCACCGTCGCCGATGGCTAAGAGGATAGCCTTGAGATGGCGTTTGACAAGCTTGACAACAAGGGCCTTCTGGAGAGGGGAGACACGGCAACAGATGACAGCCTTGCACCTGACAGCGAGATCCAGGAACTCCTTCTCAAGGTCGCGTTCAAGAGCGTAAGTGAGCGACTTGCCGTCGATGACTAGAGCGAGGACGTCCATTTCTGCACCGCCTTGGCTCTGGCTTGTGACTGCTTGGTACTTCTTGCGAATGTTGTCTCGTGTGTCTTCCTTGTTTTCCTCGTTGATGATGAGCAGACTCATGTCTTCACTAATCAGCTTGCAGCTCATGCCAATGTTGATAGCGGTTTCTTGACGATCTCCAGTGAGAACCCAGACCTTGATACCGGCTGATTGCAGAGTAGCGATAGTGTCTGGCACGCCCTCCTGCAGCTTGTCTTCGATAGCAGTCGCGCCAAGTAGAGTCATGTCACGCTCAATAAGCTCAGCGGCCTTGTCTAGCTCTTCGGCACGGTTTCCGCTGACTGTGGTTTGCGCAGTGTTGAAGATCGTCCACCATTCCTGGAACTCGTTCTCTGGAATTTCTCGCATAGCAAGACACAGCGTGCGCAGTCCCTCGGAAGCGTATTCCTCAAGATGCGTCAACGTCGTTTCCACATGGGGGTTGTCCTTGCTAAGTCTCTCCAGAATGACGGTGTCGGCACCCTTGGTATAACATACGATCTTGCCTTCGGGAGTGCGGAAGATAGTCGACATCCTCTTCCGGGTGGAGTTGAATTCGCAAACGGCCAAGAGCTCGTATTCCAGCTCGCGACCGTCGACTTCGATAATGACGGCGCGCGGCTTTCGTGCGATGAATTTGTAACCAAGAGTCACCGCACCTTCAACCAAAGCACCCTCATCAGGAGACGCAGCTTGGTATTTGATAGCCGCCTTTTCACCCTTTCGCTCGGGAATGACTGTGTGGCAAGTTGAAAGTAGAGTGAGGAACTGGTCAATGATATACTTGTTGTGGTGCGTTTTGCGATTTTGCTCGAGCTGCTTGAAGTCGTGAATACCAACCTCAACGCCGTCCTCGATCGTAGCACGTCTGTCCTCTGGAACCTCATCGGCATACTGAATACCAGCAATTGTGGACTGCTTGAACTCCATCACATTGCAGGTCAGAGTACCCGTCTTATCTGAAAAGATGTATTCAATCTGACCCAGTTCCTCGACCAGTGACGAAGTTCGACATTTCGCAGGTGTATCCGTTGGTTCGTAGTAAATGTCCAGGTCGGAATCGATCAGACTGCCAGTATAGTACTTGACGATCTCGATTGTCACGAAAAGTGAGATGGGTACCAGGTTGGAGTATAACACCCAATATGTCAGAAGGTCTCGGAAGAACTGCTTGGCGCCGTTGAAAGTCTCAAGCCTAAGGTACTCGAGGCTGTCTCTTTGCGTGGATTGGATAATGACGTCGCCTATTGAGCTGATAATACTTAGGATTATGAGAATGACGACAAGCATGAGAATCTGCTTGTTGACCATCCTCTCCACTGCAGTAGTCTTGATAGGTGTAGCGGTCGCATTCCTCATCAGCTTGGTTTCGTGTCCAGTGAAGACAACAACGCCGTGTATCCAAGGGGTGTTTCGCAATGTAGCTCCACGTAACAATAGCTGATCGGGTTGAAGTGGTAGTTCCTTCTCTCCGCCACCTGCTGCGATAGTCAAGGTTGCTTCATACGTGTATAGACTACTGTTCGGCTGTTCCGATCGAATACGGCCTCCCAGTCGCGCTAGCTCAGCAGGACTGACGTAGTCAGCTGTCTCCGGAATAGCTTGCTTGATCTTGAGATTCGTCTCTCCGTCCAAGTTGGCCGTTTCGATGTAGCACAGACCCTCCGGCTCGGAAGAAGCGAGGAGGACCAGATCAGTTGGGAAAGGTGATTCAGATTCGACGCGCACAATGTCGCCTACTGCCACGTTGACCCATTTTGTGTCCACGAATGAGGAGCCTTTGAGAACTTGCGCCTTCGAGTTGTTGAGGTCCGAATCGGACTGTTTTCGCCGGTAGTCCTCAATGTATTCCTTGACCGCCGAGACCAATAGAACTATGCCGAGCGGGACAATTGTAGTGAATCGCGACGTGGGTGAGATACCGGGGATCTGTTGTAGGATGGCAGTGAACAAGAAGAAGAGGTTGGCGTATTTGGAGAACTGCTCGTAGAGGAATTTCGGGAGGAAAGTGACGACGTTGTATTTCGAGGTGGAGATGTGGTTGTCGACGTATTTGTTCGCGGCGTTGGCAGGCGGGTTGTTCAGGTGGATGATTCGGGGCCCCAGTGTGGATGGGTCTGGCGCACCCCGACCGAAGCCGAACTTGAACGTCCCCAGTCCCTTCTTTGTCTTTGACGACTGGCCATCGTCGCGTGCGCTTGCGGTCGCGCTGGGCTGCCGTTGGTGTGCTGCGTTCTCAGTCAATGGAAGGTCCATCTCAGAGTACTCGTTCCCCTGCCCGAACATGTTCTTGACTCTCCCCGTCAGACCACCTCCGAGACTCAGGATACTATTCCTGTTGTGCGCCTTCTTGGATGCCCCGCGCTGTATACCTGGTGAAGCCTGATCATACGCCCCTCCTGCAGCGTAGTAGCCCTGTGTCGAGGCATCGTCGTCGTGTGGTATATCTGCGTCCGAGTACCGTTGGTAGTTGTTCAGATCCGACGTTTGCGAGTAGGCCCTGTTATTG